GAGTGTTAAAGAATGGCATTGGCACTAAATTGAGACTCATAATAATTGCAGACTTCCAGACTGTAAGCAATAATGACAAAAGATACCTTTCCACACCTGGATGTTTCTTGTACAAGCAATAATGAATCTTTAGGAACTCTCGGAGCATAATGAAGCTTTGTAAACCCTTCTTGACTGTCATTGCTTTGAATGAAAACTTCACCAATCTCCTTAAAACTAACTGGAACCGTGGCCGGTAAAATAAAGCGATGTGTTTTTGAATGTTAGATATAAAAATAAAACATGTAAAAGATGGTTAAAACTGAGTGGTCCTTACGTTCGTGAACATTATTTTAGGGACACTTTGGCCATCTTTTCCACCTAAAATGCAAAAACGCAACTCCTCATAAATCATGTCTTTCGGGTAATATTCTACGGCATGTTTGAGCAAAAATGGAGGGCGCAGCTTACGAACTTTATTCAATTCAAGCAAATGGTCCTGGAAAAGGCAGAAATAAAACTGCCATAGAGAAAGGCACAAAAGACTTTACGACCTAAAACTTTTAAACTACTCAAACCTTGCACAATCGCGTAAGTGATGGTATCATAGGAATCCTCCTGTGATCAATTCTGCTTTTACCCCTCCGATCTACTTTTGGCAAATTCCAGTACTCCATACACTCGTCCCTTAATTTCCCTTGGTCCAAATCAATTTTGCCCTGATCTTTCGCAAAAACTTTGTATTTGTTTAGGTACAATATTTGGTTTTTCAAAAAGCTGAAAATAACATCCATTTTTTCAACTGCATTGGCCAAATTATCTTACGAAAAATCACAAAAAAAATGCTTCTCAAAACCAAAAACTCGTCTCCTTTTGAAAATTCAAATTAAAAACGAAGAAAAAGCAAGCCTTATTAAACCATAAATTCAAACTCCAACACCACCATCTAAGAAACTCAAACGGTGTGTCATCTTAAAAGGATAACGAATAGGAGAATCGAGCATAGTGAGTAGGCGAATACAAGTGAGCCGAAAAAGACTCATTTTAAATTACAAAAATACTACATTAATCTCATTCCGGTGGAGGAATAAAAATGCAGATAAATTATACTAAAACGCCAAACATACAAATTGAATTCAGCCAGAAATATTGCAGGAAAATAAATAATTCATAAAATTAACTTTACACAAAAAAAATGTCAAAAAAGTTTTTTTTGATGTCAAAAAACTTCAGTTATTGTGTTGACTGTCGGACTTCATAAACTGATGATTTTTTTCAGGATCGTAAAAGGAAAACGACAAAAAAATTACCATTAAATTTGTTCTAGCTTCCGACAGTAGATGATTTTAGATTGTTGAAGCGGGGTCTAAATTTGCCAGCAACGAACTAACGGATACTAATATGCGCAATTCACACAAACAGCTGCTAACGAAAAAACCTTACTGTATGAAGAAAAGCTATAAAAAGTAAGTTAATTTAATAAGTAAGAAAAGCGGGGAATGAAAAATCCATTAAATTGCCAAGCAGAGAGTAACTTCTTCTTTGTGAATTAATGCTATTGTTGTTTTTGTAGTACTTTTACAATCACTACAGAGACTTCAAAAATATTTTTACAATCTACCTTTCTTACATACCTAAAAAAAGCTTGCTCTTTTTTAGAACACAGCTCCCCAAGTTTCGTTTACAAAATTATAAAATCCATTTTTTTTATAGAGTTATCCAACCAAATCTTCCCTTTCTATTGTACCCTTTTCTTTCTTTGATGACTTTTTGAACAAACAACTTTTTCCTGTTAATACTGTACTTGTGAGTGACTAATTCTTCTAACAGTTATATAATTAATTGAAATTGTTATAGACAAGCAACTGACAAGCAAACTGGTCCTCCAGTTTTAGTTTCATGCTGGCATAGTAGACATTACTGACTGCGTACTTTCAAATTGCAGTTCTAAGAAACCATGCCTTGCAGTAAATGACAGTACGTTCTGTAGCATGAATGCTCAACTTCAGAGAGTTGAAAAAACTGACGTTTTAGTATGCTTAAATATTTTTTAATAATTAAGTAACAGCGCATGCAAGTTTCGCTCTCCTGCAGTATTGTATCACCAAACTTTTTAGATAGACAGTGCTTCTGACGACGCTTCTTCTAAACAAAATTTTACAAATAATGTTTCCATATCAAATTTACTTAATTTTTTCTTTGAGAAAGTTCCCCTCACAAAATTTCTTAAAGTTGAGAGAGAGTTGGTTGAGTATCGAGTTTTTAATCTTCTTAGAGAGGAAGACAAACAGTTCTAAATGCTCTCTTCCTGTAAAAAAAAAAAGAAGACTGCTCCTACAACTGGTTCGCGTGTGTAGGTAACTAACTCCTTCGGACGAAAAACTTGAATCAAGCAAAATCTTTACCTATCATTATGCTCCTTTATATATTTTGTAAAGTCAGTGTTACTGTCAATCACCTCAGCAGGAAAAATTTCGTAAACATCATTCTTCTTCTTCTCTTCATTAAACTTATCAAGTTTGTTATTAATCCAAGTAAAATACTTTTTAACAAGCTCTGCTTCAGTGAGCCTGAGTTTTTCACATATGATATACCTGGAAATAGTAAGTGGTAAATAGTCTGTAAATACTTGAAAAAGCAGTTATTTAGAAAGTTAAGAATTTTTTGGCTTAAAATCCCGTACTAAGATTAGGCTTTTTAAGTTCAACTGGATAAATTAAACAACGGACCTCTCTGAATTAGCAGGGCGGCTGGTATTAGGTTTATGCAAAGAAATTCGTTGAAATGCTATGTACATGAGGTAGATCAAACCGATACTGAAAGGTGTAAATACGTCAAACAGTTTACAGAAGAAAACACCACCCTCACGAACAATGGACAGGGCAACAAGGAACTGGCACAGATAGAGGCGTTTAGAACGTATTTCCTGAAAGAATGGAAAATGAGGACAAGGATCGTAAACATCAATAGCGAATTAAGTGAGGAATAATTTAAAAAATATTCATAAGATAACTAGCCTGAATATTTTCTTCACCTCCTACTGAAAACCCTCCATCTGCCATCATTAAATGGACTCCGCTACCAGTAGCATTTTTAACAAACTGAAGAGAGAAAAAATGAAAGAAATAAAACCTATAAATATTGACAAAAGTGTAAGTCACAACAACAAGAAGAAAAATCAGGCTCAGCAAGTTGTCTCGAAGTAAATAAACAATTACTGAAAATAAATCCAAATCCCCCAGAAATAAAGATCTATGTGCAATAGTAAAGCCTAAAGCACAAGAAAGAAAAAATACGACCAAAAATGAATTATTTATGACTAAACAATTTTAGAAAAGGTTTCTCGTTAAAACTCAACCAAGAAAAACCAATTCTCGAAACCAACCTTCTCAAAACTCTCAATATTTTTCGGTTTTGTTACGTCACCAGTACCAAGTTCGCCATAAAAAGGCTCGAAATAATTAGGAGATGCAGCCGTAAACCGTTCCAGTTTAAAATCGTCTTTTCCTAGAATGACCGTAAACTATACAGCGCTTTGAAAAAGCTGGAAAATGTTGGTACAACTTCCAGAACTAAAACGGCATTTCGTTTTCAACCTATAATACTCCAGTGAATTTTCCAAATGACGTGCCATCAAACGAAGAAATAATTTACGAAAGATATTTTTCAGAACCTTCAAATCACTATCACACCTGACCAAACTAATTCGAAAACTGCTTCCAAGTTTTTTAAACAGTGTTATTAAAACACCAGCGTAGCTAAAAAAAAGACCAGTCTTCTATGTCGCGAAAAAACCAAGAGTCCAAATAGTTCAATTTCAATAAATCTAGTTTTTGGAAGAAAAACATTTACAACAAAAAGCACTAAAAAAACGAATAACAGAAGATCAGATAAATACACCAGTACAACTGCCGGAGAAAAAAACAGGTCAGAAGCAGTATGTGTCATAAAAAAGAATAGTTCCAGAAGAAAACTACATAATCACATATCTCTTCTTTGTGGCACTTATATATTTCAAATAATAAGTGGATAATGGTGATAAAAATAATACGTGCGTTTAAATTAACCACTCACTCCACTACGAAAACCAACCATTAAAACGGATGTATCATACTAAAACCTGGTCGAAAAGAATAGGCTCCCAAAAAATCAAGATAAAAGTAATGACCTGTATCAATTACATAAAATTAAATTACCTTTCAAGGTAAATCCAAAGCCTTTCGCATTATAAAACCCTTTCCGCCATAAAACGTATTCGCTAAAGCCGCCAGGACCTGCACATACATCGGCAAAGTAGAATAAAGGCTTACTACGATCAGTATTGACACCCTTTTTCATCGTTCCATCCTCATTCAAATCGATCGGGTTCTTCTTTAACAGGTTTTCCCCCTCGCCAGTGAATAAGTAATTAAAAACTGCATCCATATTTGCTGCTTTCATAGCTGCTCTGAAAGGTCCATATCGGAAGAAATGATACCAGGTAACGTTATTCAAGCACAAGAAACCTAAGTTCAAAGAATCAAAAAAAAAATTATCCATTAAAAAAAAACAAAAAAACTCCAACGAATGAACACGAAGGCAAATATGATGACAAAAGTAACACAGTCACAAAATGGAAAAGGGGGGG